TAAATAAATATAATATATAAAAAAAATTGAACTTGATTAAAGTTCTTAAAAGTGTTTTAATTGAAAAATAAATTTTAAAAATACTCTTATACAATGCATTTAATATATAAGAGTTGATTTCAAATAAATAAATTTAAGATTATTTTTAATTATTAATAAATTTTTAAAATATGACAATTTTTAATTTAAAAATAAAAATAAATAAATGAAATAAAAGATTAAAAAAAGCTCTTAAAAAACTCTATATTTTTTTTTGTAACGTAAGAAAATAACAATAAGAATTAGAAAGAAGTTAAATCTAACTCAAGAAAAGTTAAACATCTCACTACACCAGGGAGCCATAACTTCTTCATAAGAGGAAGTGCTCCAACTAGCCAAACTATGCATCATCCAGTTTGCTTCTCGAGAAATTCCCAGAATCTCCACTTGCCAAGCATATGGCAAAAGAAGACAAATCTCTTGAATAACATTTGCATGGTAAAAATTAGTCAGCAAACATTTTTTATATTTATAATTATAATACTGGAACAAAGTAATATCTAATATTAACGTAACATCTTAATAATGATTTTCAATTAATATTTTGGTAATTATAAATTCATTAATTAGCATATTTAGAATTATTATCAAGAAAGATTTTACATATTATATATTTTATATATAGAGAAACACAGTGTCATTTATCTGTGGCCTGGCCTGTGGGAAAGTTTTGTTTTTTCCTTTGCATTAGCAGAGAAAGTAAGAAGCAAGAGTGAGACTGAGTCATCAAAAGAGTTGAGGAAGCATTCGGTTGGGAATCCCTTCTCTGCAAAACCAAAACCCTAAAAGCCTCTCATTGCGATGAACCCTCCGCAGGCGAAGCCATCAGACACCATGAAAGGCGAATGCGGCAACTGCCGGCTGAAGGAGCGGTGGCTCTTCCACCGCCTCTCAATCCGCGGCATTGATCGGCGCCTCTGCACCTCCTGCGTCCTCCGCCTCCACCCCTCCTTCTTCTGCCCCTCCTGCTTCCATTTCTTCGACCACCCTCCCTCTGCGCACCGTTTCGTCACCTGCACTAAGTGCTCCTCCTTCACGCACCTCGACTGCCTCCCCTCTCCGCCTCCCACCACCTTCCTCTGCCCCCCCTGTTCCAACCCCGCCTTCTCCTTCTTCCCCGACGCCAACACGCCCATCGACCAACGCCTCGCCCTCGTCCTCCTCTGCGCCTCCAAGGTCGCCGCCGCCTCCGCCGCCAAGGCTCTCGCCCTCGCCTCCGCCCGCGCCGACCGCGCCCTCCGCGAGGCTGCTCTCGCTAGAAAGAGGGCCAGGGACGCTCTCGACTATTGCTCCCTTCTCGATAAGGTTAAGCGCCTCGATGTCTCACAAGACAGAAATTTGGCAACTGCTCCCAATGCTGCGTCTAAAAAAGATGAGTTTAATAGATTTGCAGCAGGACAGGTTAAGGTTATGGCTCCTTCCGAGGAAACACCATTGCATCGCCCTAATGATCCCCAAGTTAGGGATTCCAGAACGGAGTGGCCAGGGTAGGGGGCATTTTGTAAAACCATTCCTAATTTTCATCAAGGTTATTTTCTTCCATCAATTGTTTTATTTTTTACTTCTTTTTTTTTTTGGTGTGGATTGGGTTATGAACAGCTTTGTTTTGAATGCAGGTAGAGGAAGAGAGTGACTGTCTTGCGTGTAATTCAGAGTAAGAACACATTTAACTTGTTTTGGGATGTTTTTTCCTGAACATGCGGCTGATACATTTCATTTATCCATTCCATTTCTTTGTATACCAATGTGATTATACAATTCTATTTCTTTTTAAGTGCCCGGCTGTAAGTATGTTATGCACATTTTCCCCCCTCTTAGTGATTATCAGATGTTAGTCCATTCTTATATATCTTTCTTCTTTTTCTTTCATAAGTGAGTGATTGGTGTCAGATTACTTTGGTTATCTTGGATTGATTAGTTATCAATTTTGAGATTGGTTGGATTTAGGAATTCTTTTTAATTGGGGGGAGATTTTGGTTCATACTTGGGTTTAAGTAGCTGTGTGTTGTATATATTTGGGAACCGGTTAATTTGCTAGAGTTGTTTGTTGGAGTAGAGTAAATTTAACTATGTTTAGTATTGTTTATGTTTCTGCTTACCCAGCTGTTGGGTTTGCTGGCACTTGGGAGTAGGTTGTATACCAAATAAACTGTTTTAAACGAGGGGATCCTCCAATGACACTTGATGTTCTGTTTTAATTCTCATGGTAAAATTGATCTCAGTGGCCTTATTGTGCTGTATGTTTGAGACATGCATATGATTATTTTGAATTCTCGGCTCTTAGATGCTTTCTGCTCACATATTACTGTCTTCCCGAGAGATAAAATCAGAGTGTTAGTCTTTCTTTCTAGGTAATCTTACGAATCTGAAGTTGATGTTCTCTCAAGACAGCTTATTATGCATGTATGCACTCCTTGACTTGGGGATGTCATACTGTTGTTTATGTTGCTTTCTTGTCATACTGGCATTTGATTATTTCACGGAGTGTTGGTTGTCAAATTCTGCTGCTTCCCTCACAGTAGAACAGGACATTTTTTTTTTCTATTTTTCCTTTTTCTGGGTAGGAGGGGTGGAGAGGGTTGTTTAAATTCTGCTTAGGTCCATATGTTTTTTTTTTGGTTCAAGGATACTATCATATTATTATCTTCAAACTGATAGTTAGAAACTAGTTCTTTTAAAGGTGTAGAGATTATTGAAGTGAGTTTTGTCTATTCTAACAATTTTTTTTTTTGTTCACGTAGTCAAGAATCAAACCCCAACAATATTCTTAAGGATTCAATCATCTATTAACTGTGTTTGACCTTGTTGGTGGTTGTTGATCGTTTATTATCGCGAGTATTATATTTCAGTGCCACAGACAATTTAAGATGGTATTTGATATGTCTTTTAGGGCTGAGTAGACCTATTATGTGGTGAATGGTAGAATGTGATACCATATCAATCCTTATTGAAAAGGAGCGTTCAATCTGCAAGGAGATCAAAGTCTATTGAGTAGTGATGTTTGATATCATTGACAAGGATCGTTCAGAACTTAAGATGTGGGGAGATTAAAGTTACTTTAATCAATCTTCCAGAGTGACAAAATAAATCAGAAAAAACATCATTCTCTGTTTTCATTGTTTGAAAGTGTAGAGAGGTATAAGGTCCAGACCCAACATGACTGGGAAAGCTAATCGTTTTAAAATCTTCGTTCACTTTTTGCCAGAGGGAGAAGGGTGGTGAATGCTTTATGGTCGTATATGGAAACAAATGTGAAACATTGTGTACTTTTATGCCTTGCGAAAATCAAATTGGTACACAATCTTAGATCTATGTGCTTATGGGATGTGGATTACTGGATTAGCTGCGGTTGGATTAGAGAGGGAAAGGAAGTTCAATCTCTACCCTTAATTTCCTTTTTCAATTCTCATAAAATTAATAAAAAAAAATATGAGGAAAATGATTGCCGTCATTAGATGATGACTGCAGGGTGAACTATGATGTCAAAGTTGACTATACGCTATTCGGATCCGTACCAAGAGAAGGGAGGCTGTTTTAAGTTTTTTACAAATTAAAATTATTGTCCATAAATTAATTTGTAAAAAGAATATGTTAATATATTCAAAATATTACTTCTAATTTATGAATAAATTAATTAACTAGTTAATGGGGACATTTATTTATTTTCTTTTTATTTTCTTTTTCTATAAGGACTCAATTTTTTATTATATAAACATGTGATGGTATTTTGTTTGTACTTTTTCGAGTGAGACCACCTATTTTGTGGAATGGGAAAACGAGTTATACCGTTTATATATTTTATTGGGCACTGGTAGATGATATCCAAGGGGGAAGTTCAGAATTTAAGGGCGTATTAAAAGGAAAGAAGGAAAGGATAGTAAATATTTCTAATTTAATAATTTTTTAAAATTTTATTTATAATTTTAGTTTCTATAAGAAGTATATATTTTTATTAAAAAAAATTTGGTATGTGCATAATCCTTTAAAAAAAAAATTTGGTATATGATGAAAAACAAGAAATTTGTCTATTTATGCAATTATTATGTCGACTTATTAGATATGTAATTCCTTATTCATCCAAAGGGAAAAGGAAGTCGTTGCTAAACTCGTGGCTGACTAAGTTTATACTGAAATAATCAATAGGGTCATGAGAGATGTAGAATTGAAGGTTAATAGTTATCATGTCCTCGAATTTAGTTGTTGTAGTACATGTTTTTTTGTGCAAGAGACTATTAACCCAAGGAAAAAAAGATTGACTGGAAATTTCACGGTTAGACTATATGACAAGTGGTGTGACTGTGGGAAATTCAAAAAGTTACACATAATTACAAATCTTACATAGATTAGGTATATACATTAGAGTAGTTTTCAAATGTGTATAACGGATTATTTTGTGAACTATCAAACGGATCTTATTGGCTGGATTGTAAAGGACCACAAATCATACCAAATTCAAAAAATATTAAAATAAAAAAGGTCGTTCGAAGTCAACTTGAATTCGTACCGATGGATATGGTTAAATCGGGACAACCAAAAAGGTGTTTTCTATGTCGAAATATAGATCACTCCAAGAAAAAATGTTCTTACCATCAACAATCTTAAATTTTAGTTTATTTTGTTGTGTAATTTTCACAAATGTAATGTTATGTAATTTTAATTTTATTTTAATTATGTATGTTTAACTAATATTATCTCAATTTTACTACAATTTTATTTATATTTAATTATAAATGCAAAAAAAATATAAATTATAAAGTTTAAAAAATTACAAATATAAGTATAATATTAATTTCTAAATTAAAAATAAATTATAATTAAAATATTAAAATATCTATATTTATTGGAAAATTAAAATAATTTTTAAAATATTTACACAAAATATTAAAATATGTATATGTATTGAAATAAAATCAAATTATTAAAATATCTATATTTAATTAAAAAATTAAATACTCAAGTTAATTAAAAATAATAAAATAGTTATATTTAAAATTTCAATTATGATTTAAATAGTTTTAAAAAAATTTTAAAAATCAGATTTTTTTTAAAAAAAAAAGTAACCTCGTTGAGAAATCGATTTTTGAAAAATTAATTTCTCATGAGACGTAAAAAAACTGAAAAAAAATTTACATTCATAAATTAGTTGATGTAAAAACGATTTTTCATTGTGCACAATACTTTGGTATATTTACATAAATAATATAAAAGATTGATTATTTACATAATATAAATTAAAAAAATATATTATAAAAAAAGTCGCAAATTATGTCATTATAGTAAGATTTATTTTACAGATTGAAAGGTAAAAGTGTTAAGTGTTAAAAAATGAGACGAAAAATACTTATAAAAAATGTTTATCTACTATTTATTTGGATATATATATATATATATATATATATATGTATATAAATCAAAATTAATGTAAAATGATTTTAATTATAATTTTATTTTCAAGTTTATTATTATATCATAATATAAATTATTTATTATAAAAAAATATTTGTATTAAAAATATTTATTTGATTAAGTTGTACTTTTGATATTTTTATTTTTGTTAATTTGTAATTTTTATTATTCTATTTTAAAATAAAAATATTTAGTCTTCTATCTTGAAAAATATAAAAGTTTGCTCATATCATTAATTTGATGTTTGTTAGTCAATAAATTTTTTACGTGGTTTAGTCTTGGGTTAATACTTAAGTGACGTGAAGCTAGTTGTAGGATTTAGCATTTGCAAGTTTGGCTTTACAATGATGGTCGAGATGTGATGGTTTGGCATTGGCGGGACAATATCTCTAGTGTGTACGTACTCAACTGTTTCGGCATGCACGCCATTGGTTATCTAATGCAAATGGTGGCAGGCTGGAGGAATCTTGGAGGTGGATTTGGCATCTCCCTATTGGTGCAAACCTTCTATTTTTCGCATGGCAGATTATGTTTAATTGGTATTGAGTTGACCCCACCATCATTACAACAATCCTTGTTGGTTACGTGGTTGTGTTGACAAGTACGAGGTCCTACTCCTTCCACTCATTATAGGTGTTTATGGAATGCTAGAAATAAACATACATTTGATCATACTATTCTGATTGGCCTGGAGAGTGATGCAAGATTTGGTCTTTGCATTGTGACACATTGCATGTGTATGATGGTAGTAGTCTAGGGCAACTTGGAGCTGTTGGTTTTGGTGGGTTATTTTGATATTCAGTTGGGAATTGGATATGAGGATTTTATGCTAATATTGGTATAATGATAATACGAGGATTGAGTTATCTGCTTTATTGTTTGGGTTGCGTTTTGTTCAGAGACTTGGTTATCGAGATGTTCTTTATCAATCTGATTCTTCTTATACACTCTTTTTTGGTGCATTCCTATTGTGGTAATCCACACCCGTATATTATTATTTTAGGAGTATTTTGGAGATGTTAGTAAAAGGTTACTGGGTGCAACTTCAACGCACATTGGGAGAGGGCAACACGTGTGCTGATTCTTTTTTATTAGATTAGATCCAAATTCTGGTTGTGCTTATCTAAAATTGGACTCCACTTAAACCACTCCTTTTCCTTTTGGTTGATGTTATGGATGTACCGTTTTGGATGTACTTCATTTTTCTTTGTATTTTTAAAATTAAAGAGAATAAATATCTTTATTTTAAAATAAAAAATTTAAAATTATGTATTGAAAAAAATAGAAGGATCAAAAGTGTAATTTATTCTATTTATTTATACATATTACAGTGATAAAATAATTTATATATTTTAAAATATTTATTTATATTATAAGTTATAGTTATATAAAATCAATATTTATCTTATTCTGGAACATATTTTTCTTTGGTAAATGAGATAAATAAATAAAAAAGAATTACATCATTAAAAATTACACCCTCATACCATGTAGAGGTGTTGTTTAAGATCCAAAGAGGAAAAATCCAATTTCAATAATACAATAACAGGATTTGGATCATAATTAACTAAAATAATATATATTATCCTTATTTACAAGAAATTATTAGATGATCCTGAAATACATAATTTTTAATTGGTCTTTATATGACATAACTAAGTATTTATAAATAAGAAAATTTAAATACATGATATATAGGAATCGACAAGGACCATAAATAATCTTAGGTTCTCTAATAATTTCTCATAACTCAGTGTTTTGGCACTACATAGCCGGTCCTAAGCCCGGAGAAAAGGTGAAGGTTGTGTTAGGCTATTCGACAAGCCAGCGTAAAAAACCCCAGTCGAATCTCTATGATATGGATCAACGATGTTATTTGGATAATGCTAGGTCGTTGCCCGGAAGCAACGCGCTGTATGGCTCGAGTACAGTGTCAAATGTGCAAGGGCCGTTGCATCGCCGCCCGGATGCAGTGTTAAATAGGCAAGGGTTCCCGCATTCTAGTGAACGGGTGCGGGTAAAGAAGCTAGTTCACGAGACCAAGATTCGAATAGGAACATGGAACGTAGGCACACTTACCGGTAAGGCTATGGAAATAGTAGACACGATGATTAGGAGAAGGATCAACTTTATGTGCCTACAAGAAACCAAATGGATAGGGGAAAAGGCAAAGGAATTGGATTCTTCGGGTTTTAAGCTCTGGTACACCGGGAAGGTAAGAGCGAGGAATGGGGTTGGCATCATAGTGGACAGGGAGTGGAGGAAGGACGTGGTGGAGGTGAAGAGAGTCGGAGATAGGATCTTAGCCCTTAAGCTAGTCGCACGGAAGGATACCATCAATGTCATTAGCGTGTATGCGCCTCAAATTGGGTCGGAGGAGCACCACAAGGTGCAATTTTGGGAGGATTTAGAAGGGGTTATCCAAGGAATACCTATGGGAGAGAAGATTTTCTTAGGGGGGGATCTTAACGGACATGTCAGGGGAGATTCTAGGGGATACGAAGGTTTCCATGGAGGACATGGCTTAGGAGTAGCAAATAGAGAAGGCAAAACCATACTAGATTTCTCCTTGGCTTTTGATCTTACAATAGTCAATACGTGCTTTAAAAAGCATTGTGTATAAATAGTTAAATTATTTTTTTGTAGTGTATTGCAAATGCTATAATTAGGACATTTCCAAATATTTATTATTATTATTATAAATTATTATTATCTTGATGAAAATATTGTATATTGCAATGTTTGTTTTCTAGTTGTGAATATGGATAAGTGAACTGCTTGTAATTAAGACATCTCCAAATTTGTGACTATGTTTGAAAATGTATTATGTTTAATATGAAGATGATTTGATATATATATTAAGATTCACATGATTTGTTGAAAATGATATTAAAGATCATATAATGACAACATCTATTTAAAAAATATGGTTATGTAAATTCTAATACAATGTTTCATCCTTTATCTCATATTTTTCATCTCAATATAATTAGTGCATTATTCTTTTGATACAATATTTTTATAGAAACCAAAATTAAAAAATCAAATAAAGTGTCATTATAATTATATTAAAACTTTTTTTAACTCCCATATTTATAATTAGAGTTAATTTAATTATTAGCATTCAACCCATGAATTAAACATTGGATAGAGAAAAAAAAAGGATTGTTTGATATCAGAAAAAAAATTTAGTTTCCATTTTTATTTTCAGAAAATAATTTTCATTTTCAAAATTTAAAATTTAGAAAACAATTTAAACTCTCAATATCTAATTTTAGAAAATGAAAATATTCAAAACATATTTGGTTTAACTATTTTTTAAAAAAATTATAATTTTTTAATAAAACTTACAATTTTAAAATAAATAATAATATATTTTCTTAATAATTGACCTTTAAAAAGATAATTAAAAATAATTAAAGAATATTAATATTACAATGATGGTCGTATCTCATATTCATATTATAATATTTATGATAATGATTATAATATACATATATTATTAAAAATGGCATATCTTTTATTTAACTTTATATTCTTTTAGTTTTAGAACCGTATGTAGCAAATATTTTAGATTTAATTTTGTTTTAACCTTTTTATCAAACAATTGATCTACTCAAACAATTAATTTTACTTTATATTGGAATAAGTTAAAATTGGAAAAAGGAAATATTTATGGAACATGACTCAAAAACAAGAAAAAAAAGAGATTTGATGTTTCATGCACTACATTTATTAATATAAAATAAATAAAGAGAAAACAAAATTACAAACAAAAAAAAAGTTCTAAGCAAATAAGCAGCATGATATAAATTAAAAAGATATAAAAAAATAGACCAAGTACAAAGAGAACACGCAAAAACACAAGTAAAATGATTTCTTCTACAAAAAATGAAACATATTTTGAAAAGGAAAGAAAAAAGTAAATGTCAATAAAATTATACTACATGCTACCACGTTTTCTTTTTCTGTTCGAAAACTGAATAACTTTATTTTAATTGATTTTTAAAAGAATTTTTAAAAAAATATAATCATACATATTTTCGATATTGTTTCCTAATTTTTATGAAAATGAAAACAAAAAAAATGTTCAAAGCAAATATGCAGGATTCGACCAAAGCAGTGAGCGTTGCCACTGAGACATGAGACTCTGGGTATGATGGCTACATACATTCATATTCTCTACTCTTTAGTCTTTAACCTTCCACCATCCAAAAAAATAATGAAATTCTACCTTTTCATTTTTTTTTTGTAAAAAAAAGTAAGTATTATGTGACTGCCCCAATATATGGAAAAAGAAAATGAATGAGAAAACTTTGTAATTCACTCTCTGACCAGTTAATCATGTTGTCCAATTTATTGAACTAGAAATTGAGCTGCGCGTTGCACGGATTAAAAATACATATATATTATATTGTAAAGATAATGAATTATGTAAAATAATTTAAAATTATATTGAACTTTGTAAAATATTTACATTAAAGATTAATTTAAGTCAAAGAAAAATAATAATATATTTTTTATACATATTATTTAAGACTATTTTGAGCATGTAACAAAGTTGCGGTGTCCAGCTCCTTGACAAAAGTTGGTTAATGCAAGCAACTGTAGAGGTATACCTATGCCTACTGTCAAACGGAAGTTACAAAAGAGATAAAACATAGGTAGAATTAGAGCAACATAAGTTATCTTTGTATGCCATTCCAAACAAGTATTGCAACCCAAACAGTAAGGCTGAAAGCTCAGCTTGAACCAGCAGGTCCACTTGATCTCCAATAGCCAAGGTCACATTTAACCCAAACTTCATTCTTCTGGTTATTACCATCAATCCTACACATCCCATGGGCCCAAACTGTATTTGCATGGAGTAAACAAACCACTTTCTAGTTCTTCATAATGGAACAAAACGTGCCACATCTCCATCACTAGCAACATGACGACCAAGTACAAAGCTACTGCTGCGGGTGGGTAAAGCCTACTCACCTAGTCACACTTTCCAAATCCAACTCCAAGAGTTCTAATCATTACTACCATTATCTGTCATCAATCAATGATAAGCTGAATTTGTATACATCATATACACGAGATAAATAGATATATTTTTTCATCAATTAATTAAACGTGATTTAGAGTATTTATAATATAAGATATAATTTGGGTTAAATTGCTCTCTTGATTATTTATTTTATTTAATTAATTTAATTTGGTCCCTTATTATTAAAAGGTTTAATTTGTTCTCTTAATTTTTAAAAGAGATGTAATGTGGTACTTTTTGTTTAATTGAGATGGTGTTCAATTTTTGTAAGATTTATATTTGTGATCTTTAACAAGTAAGTTATGTAAAGTTAACTTAAATACATAATCTATTTTTTTTTAAGATGAGTCAAAAAAAAATTATTATGTAAAACATTTTATTACAAATTTAACAAAAATAAATATATTACTTTTTATGATATAATACTGTCCTATTATTTTAGTAATAATTAATTGTTTGTTTATTATATATATATATA